CAAAATTATTACTCGGATGATCAAAGAAAATTACTCCTCTGAAATGGCGTAGTAATATAACCAACCAGAGGGTGTCGCAATTCAGTATTATTAGCCGTAGAGTTATCAATGCTGTTTTAAGGTCTGGGCCTGGCAATGAATTAAAACTTCGTTTTTTTTTTTTTGGGAACGTTGGCGAGGCGGTAGCGTGAGTTTGGCGATGCGGCTGCCTCGCCAAGATAGAGCTGCGGGAAACACTGCAATACTTAGCCTGTGAATTCCAAGCTAGCAGTTACTGGCGTAAACAAATAGGCGCTAACGTTAACATGTATTAGGCTACTTCAGTTGGCTTATTTAAAAAGTCTACGACTTACCCTTCATGTGACTCGAGAGCGCAGACTCGCCCATTGTGAAAAGCTGCACATCTTTTTTGCAGACTTTACAAGAGGCAACTGGTGGGGTTTGTCCCCGTTTAATCCCTAATTTTTATTTTTCATCTTCCAGCCAACGTTCATTGAAACGACAACCTCCCGCCATGGTGCCGTAGTGGTTTCATGGGGGCGGAGTCACACATGGAAATAGACTGGCAGATCGCAGTCACACATAAGCGAGCAGGTTTTATTTTAGGACTCTCCAACATTTTATTTCTCCATTTAATAAACACACGTTTCAGTTAGACAGGTATTTGTTGCGAAAGAAATAGTTACATTTTCAAGCATTTCATCCAAAATATAAGCACTTTTCAAACCTTGAAAACACAATGTCAAAATGCAAGCATTTTCAAGGATTTCCAGCACCCTTACGAACCCTGAGTATAAGATACTGTGCACAACAATTTGTGGTTTTAGTTCAATAAGCAAAAGGAAAACAATCAGAATAATTTCATAATCTAATGTGCATAAAGTTTTATTAGAGAACACAATAGAAAATCTAGTCAATGCACGCGGGTTCACTTGGGTGAACTAAAGCAATCATCCGTCTGATAAACAAAATGGGAATATTATTGGATGTAAAACTTACAGTTTGAATGAAGGCTGGAGTTGCAGCTGCTGGAACGTTGTGGCTAAATGATCGAGCCTGAAGGAAAGAGAAGAAAAAAGTAAATGAAACAAACTAATAAAAAAACAGTGTTTAACAGCTAAAAAAGAAAGGCTCTCCTGTGTTACTGAATGCATTTAATAGATGCCAAATAACTAACTCTTCTAATAATCTTAAGTGCTCTTCAAAACCATTTCCTTACGCTTTCTAGAGTTTTTTTTATTGTCCCTTTGGTCCAATTTGCAGTCATTTTCAGTCTAGTTTTGCACCTGATCATTTCACGAGGATTTTGTTTATGTTGAGGCACTCAACATTGACCTTTGAAGCACTTAGACGCACATATAAAACGGCACGCAGTGTTTTGTCTACCTGTAAGAGGCAATTTATCAAACAAGTTTTAAATTGTCATTTTTAGGGCAATTTGTGTCCTGCAAGCTAAAGCAGAAAAACAAATAACTTGGCCCCAAATCTTTTGGTGAATGTACAAACCTTTAAAAAAAAAAAAAAATACACTGTGCGACAAAAGTATTCAAAAACCTAAAATGCAATAAGGAAAGAGCAACTCATTTCACTTACAGCATACCTTATTATTGTGTTGAGTATTACGATGACCAGGCAGCAGGATAATCTTTCATAGATGATATCACGTTAGTCAATCCACTGCTACTAATACAAGCAGCATCACCAATAAAGAATTAGGCTTACTGGCGAGATGCAAGATTTTATGTTTAATCAAGACCTGTCTTTAAATACCATATTAAACAGTTTTCTAAAACTTCCTTCTTTTATTTTCTAAATATTGCAAAAATGCTGAGAAACTAGGCCATGCACTTGTTCCTTGAAGGCTGGACTATTGTAATTCTTTACTATCAGGAAGGCCACAAACTGTAGTTAAAAGCCTTCAGCTGATCCAAAATGCTGCAGCCAGAGTTCTGATGAAAATTTAAAAGAGAGATCATATCTCTCCTATCCTGGCTTCTCTTCATTGGCTTCCTGTTAAATCCAGAATAGAATTTAAAATCCTCCTTCTTACATATAAAGCCTTAAATGGCCAAGCTCCATCTGATATCAGAGATCTGATTGTTTCTAATATCTCTAACAGAGCACTGCAGGTCTCAATCTGCAGGTTTACTAGTGGTTCCTAGAATTTTTAAAAGTAGAATGAGAGGCAGATCTTTTTAGTCATCTCTCCTGTGGAACAAACTACCAGTTTTAGAGCATGAGGCAGACATCCTGTCTACTTTTAAGGGTTTGCTTAAAACTGTCTTTTTTCATAAAACTTATAGTTAGAGTGGCTCAGATTATTCTGAGCTATCTCTTTTAGCTATGCTGCTATTGGCTTTGACTGCTGGAGGACAAAGGGACACCTTTTCATCATTCTTCTTCATTTTATTCTGTTTTGTACTGATGATTTATTGCTTTAACTTTCTGTTCTTTCTGTTCTTCAGTAACTACAACTGGCCTGGTGTTTAGCTGTAATACCATCCTAGAGGGAGGCAAAAGCTGGGCTGCGCTGTTATATTTTATACCCGATACAGTTGGCCCTGTACTTCAAGGTTTAGGTCTGTTTCCCTCCTGAACATAGGTATGTTCTGAGGTTTTACTGAAGCTAACTGTATCATTTGACCATAAAAGTCTACTGTTCCCTTCTCTAACATTAAAATACTCCTGGATAACTGCTTTATTGTTCCTTTGTGTGTCTACTTTATGGCAGAAAACCGTTCATGTTGAGCCTTGTTCAACTGGGGGTTTCTGTCTGCTACAAGGATGTTTTTTTTCTCCACTGTCACTGCTTGCATGGTGGGTGTGAGGGACTGATGAAAAGCAATGGCACAATGCAAGTGACTGTTTAACGTCGCCGTCTGCTCCTTTAAGAGGAGTGACTTCTATGAAGTTCAATAATTAAATTTAATCTGGTGCATTTTCTTAGGCCAAAAATGTTGGTTTAGTTAAAGTTTAAAGTGCCTTGAAATGACTTGTGCAAAGAACTTGCACTAAAGAAATAACCTGAAATTGAAATGAATGCTTCCTGCTATCTTCAACTACATAATGACACATATCTTTCTCAACCCCTCTACTCATTCTCCGTCTGGTTGAAGTGAAAGCTTTTGGCCATTCTAACATGAATAAGCTATAATCTGGCTTAAAGTTTAGTGTCCCTGTACTAAAAGCTAAACCCAAAAGCCCCTAAACCTAAAATATTTTAGGCTGGAACTTGTTTTCCCTTATGACCTGCTTTTACAGGTCACTAAATGCAGTTAAATATGTAAGTTTTTTTCCACCCCGATTGAAAATCCAAACACCTCTAGTAGAGAAATTATGTAAAATATGCAAATAGATGGCAGAAAGCACAATCAAATCTCATCATCAGCTCCACATGGGGTCCAGAAATTAGGTTTCTTCTTTGCCAGCTCACTTCTAATTAAGCCAATTAGCTTACTAATTAGGACACATTTTTCAGAACATGTTTTATTGATGCTAGTTTCATGTTTTATATAGTTAGTATCAATACAGTTTGTAAGGATTCCCTGATTTATATGTTCACTGAAATTGGTTGATCAAATGCCAGAAAGCCCGTTAATCACATTTGACTGAAGTTTCGGACTGAATGTTTTTTTTTAATCTAATTGTTGTGAACATCTTACTTTTATAACTGCTTTTTCTGGACAGTAAAATGATAAGCGATAACCAGACAGCAAAAATCGACCAGACATGTTACAAGCTGTACTTTGTCTTTTTTTAAATCTTTCTGTTATTGAAGCATTTTTTATCCCAGGGCAGAATCTCGTA